AATGCGAATTTGTTAGTAAATATTAAAAAACAACTATATTTAACGGGAGATTTTTTTTATTACACACCCACGTGTGATGAACAGAAGACGGGGTGAACCCCACAGTCACGAGGACCTGCTGTTCAGTGGTGGAAACCGGCAACCTAAGCCCCGGGTCTTGGAGTGGCGAACCACATAAGGCCCCGATAGGTTAGGCGTTGACAAAGCCGTCAATGCCACAACACAAATACAGCCTCACAAAAAGGACCAAACGAACTTAGCAAAATATACCTACGACAACCGGTTCTTCCGAGCTGCACGCCATTGAGTGCGTCCTCAGGACGCGAAAAGAGGTACGTTCACTGATTACGGTCACCGAATAACATGAGTCTCACCAAATTTTCCTCCACCAGTTGAAGCTCTTCTCAGTCCTTAGTACACCTTCCAACTAGCCACATTTAACGTGCCTCCTCTGATGCGTTTAGGACAACAGGCATGTGCCCTCGAGACCCCTAAGTTGTTGTTGCTTTGGTATCGTGTTTATATCCAAGCTGGCTCATCGAAATTTGCCTATTGCCACCTTCTAAAGGGATCAATGAGAATCCAGTAAAATATAAATCTCATAAAAGCCCTAGCCGGTCAATGTTACTCTGTGAGGGCCCGTAGTCTATAGTTGAGTGCCCGATAAACGAGGAAATATGGTCACGATCAAGTGTTATAAGGCATTATCTCTGGTTAAGGCCTACCATCCCCGTCCAGCTTTCGCCGCAGGCACTTGCACAGTGATCATAATCATTATCAACGAATCCTATTGTAGTCTTATGAAGGTAGTTATTTCAAGTCTTAGATCATAGATCATCTAGAACGCCAGTGAACGACAAGCCCTTAGTATTATTCACCACTCAAGGGTGTGTAATAACCAAAACTGAAAACATTTTGTAGCGTACACAGTGAATGACACCGCAGTGATTGCTCAGTAACATACAACAACCCACGCTGTTTACCAAACTCACCCAAGTCAACAAAACCCTCATCTTCACTCGGACGGTTCAGAGGGGGGAGTGCAGCAGGAAGAAGACTGAGAATTCCCATGAATTTTGATGGTCGATTTGTAGATACGGATTCATTGGAATGATCTGGGGTTTGAGATTGGTCAGGGAGTAAATGGGTGCCATTTTGGGTATCATTTGGAACGGACGCATCCACGGGAGCCGATGAAGATTGTTCTATGGGTTCGGAAATTCCCAAATTCGACGAGTTCTTTATTTCCTCAGGATCTTCCGCTGCAGTCATCCTTATGGAATACCAATAAAAACATGATGAATTAGATCGTCTATGAGCAACAGAATTCAGCGATATTGTGGTTAAAGATCAAGTCATTACAACTTCGAACCGTTTTGTATCACTTATTTCCCAAAGAAAGGAAAATAATGAGGACAGATCTCTTCTAAGGTGACCAGAATCAAGGAAACTGTGACATGCCATATGAACCAAATTCTTCAAAAAAAACAAGAACAGTGAGATCAGCCTTTTTCACATGGGAGAACGAAGTGTAATTTAGGAGTTCCTTCCATTTCCCACTTCAAGGCAACCAAACTAGCTTTGAAAAATTTGCGAATTGATGTTTACTAATGCTCTAGTGGTCTAGACAATGCAGCAGTGTGGTCGACTAATGCAGCAAACGGGAGCACAAAACTGAATGTTGTACCAATATAAAGATGCAGAGTACAGATAAACTAAATTTGCGCAGAAAGTTGTATGAACGAATGCCACCGTTAGTGACATTTAGCCATACCACTAAGTATATCTGATCATTGATTAGATTGCTCACGAGGTCGCTGACCGAGAGGTCCGAAGTGATTTACCTGACAAAATAAGGTTTCACATCTTTATTCCAGGTCATGGTGTAACCGAAGTCAACCTAAATCGGCAGACGCCGCAGACCGAGAAAGCCCATCCGGTAACCCCTGTAACAAATGATCTAACCACTGTAATCGATGGAGGTCAAGCATCTTCATCGAAGAGTGACCACGACTACCTAACACTTTCCCTAACCTGTCTTGTCCGGTTGTCCTACCAGATTCGTACTTGTACATTGATAGCTTCGCTCTTTTCTACTCGTAACCATGATGAGTATTTATCACATATTAGAAACCCGCGATCCATCATAGGCAGCCGGATGTCGTGGCACCACCAAATGTCACATATTCCGCCATCAATAACACCGCATACCACACCATACGGTAATAACCTAAGTCCCTAACTTATGTAAGAGGCTACATAAAATGCAATATTTATCACCCATTCAAAAACACGCAGATAATGCAGAAAACTAAGACCAAAACAGTCAGGAAGAGAACTCAAGGAACTAAATTGCAACCTAAATAAGTTATTTCGCAGGAAGGCTCGTGTTACATCAACTTGAGGGCTTTAACTTACTCATGTGGTATCTGTCGGGTTTCGGTTTCTTCGACAACTTGACTGGCGATCGAAGCGATTCCACGAAGTGACTGCCTGAACTCAGTGAAACTTTTGAACTGCTTTGGCCGGTGTTCGGGTATATGAATTTCAGCCTCTGGGTAAAGATAATGATTGTAACGTCAAACAGCATGATTTACCTCGCAGAAGCCGCTGCGTTTCACTATGAATATTTACTTTGTTTATCTCGTCTTGGGATTGCGTCCCTTCGGATATAACTTCCTCAGATACAACACGAACTTTGGATTTGGATGGTTTTTTTGCCGCTCCCTAAACCAAACTTAACAGCAAAAGAATGAACACTTACTTTGCTTAGGGACCATCGGCCCATCTTGTTTTTCGTTCCTTCACTCTGCGGTGACCGTTCTTCGTCACCGCTATCGCAATAAGTACTAACTGGTTTTATTTCCTCCTCGTGCATAGAGCCTGGACTAAGAGTAGGCGATTTATTGAACTCTTCATCGGATTCACTGTCCACGAGGTCCGGTGGCAGTAAAGGCGTTTCTTCCATGGTTGATAAAACCTAACCCAAGAAGACAGTTATGGAACGGAATCACGGTTTGTAAACGATCATAACAATTAAGTTAGATAAACAGAAACAATTATGTAAGTCCAAACTTGTGATCACCGGTTCCTCCCTGAAACAACTTGATCATTTCCATTTTAGTGTTGTTAATGTTTCAGTTAATGTTAATGACGCATATAACAGGGGGTAACCTTTTCTGTCGAACTTCAGATAAGAACATCAATTCTGTATCAGAAAATGTGCGATGCTCCACGTTTGATCCGGGCACCTGAAAGGGTGAAACATTATGCGCTCGGTAAAGTAAACGATGCCATGGACGCTACTTGTTTCATGTTATCGGCTTCAACAATCAGGTACTTCGATAACGGTCTAGTGACATGGACAGGATGGTTGGGTGGTGGCGGTCCAGTTGTTTTAGTCACTGTCACCGGCGTGCTCGGGATCTTATGGTCCGAGGTTCGAACCTCGCCGTCGCCACCCAACTTTGGTGGTTGGCAGCTCTGTTGTCGTTCGGTTTAAGACCACGCCTAACATAATGGGGCCTTTATGTGGTTTACCACTCCAGGTCACGGGGCTTAGGTTGTCGGTTTCCATCGGTGAGTAGCAAGTCTGTGACTGTGGGGTTCACTCCGTCTGCTGTTTATCACACAAAATGTGTAATATAAAATATTAGTGTATGAAGAGAAGTAGCTCACTTTGACTGGAGGAGTATCGAGTTCCCTCTCTGGTTTTAGACAGCTGCCTTGTCACTTGAATGTAAAATGTCTCACAGAAAATCCGCATCAACTCTTGAGGCGCTATCCCTCATCTTACTTGACGGCCTATGCCTATGACTCAAATTCGGGTTTCAAACGGAAAAGGAACCTGAACCCCTTGTATTTCTGCCAAATATGTAACTTAATTCCAGAATGTACTTTTGGGAAAAAGCAGAGCCCCATTTCTCAAAAATAAAAAACAGGTGGACGTGTCTAACGCCCTAGAACTGTGTTCCCAATACATATAACAGGAGAAAAAATGATTTTCGTCAACTACTCAGTTAATCTGCTGCTACGTTGATGAACTAAAACAATGCACACACTCAAAGTGTTTGTTTTCCGGACCATTTTGATTTGGAATAATTGAGGAACAGCAGCAAATGAATTCTCAGGTTACTGGTGAGGCACCATCGCTTTCATGGTAGAGCGAAATACAGTGAAACACTTTGGACATGACTCTGTGAAGCTGTGACTCTGAGGAGGTCCTCTCCTCGTGGGAAGAATCAACTGTCGTTGCTATCTTTAAAAAGGGCCCACGCAGTGACTGCGCCAACCATAGGGGTATAAGCGTCTGTTGGCGTTCGTCATTCTCCGTTGATTGTCAGGAGCAGGCTGGGTTTCGCGCCGGTTTTAGATGCATCGATCAAATCTTCACCCTCCGACAGCCGCTAGCGTACTGCCATGCTTATTNCTTATTCAAAGACCAACGATCATTGTATTCTTAGACATCCGCGCGGCCTTCGATTCTGTCAATATGGGTGCACTATGCAACTGTGCGTTGAGAAGTGGAATACCAGAAAAGTGTGTCGATTCTCAAAGAGTTGTATCATCATACCTCGGGTCGGGTCAGGACCTACGGCTAACTTTCGCTACCTTTCGCCGTCTCCGGTGCAGTTCGATCAGGCTGCCCAAATCCCACTTCCTTTTCAACTTTGACAGATCCGCCTCTGAAAACCACAGAGGAATTAGTTTAATCAACATTGCTTCTAANCTTCTAAACTTCTCGCTGGTATCATACTCCGTCGATTGTCTGCCGCACGTGAACGATGTACGCGTGAGAACCAGGCTGTTTCCATATCTGGTCGAGGTTGTATCGACCACATCTTCAGTCTTCGTCAAATTCTAGAACACAGACAATCCTTTCGTTGACCCACCATTTCCATCTTCCTCGGTTTGAAGGTGGCTTTCGACTCAGTCGACCACTGCAAACTCTGGCGCTGCCTCGCTCTAAAGGGTGTGCCCGAGTTTATTTCAATATTACAATCGCTCTATACTAATAGCTGGAGCCGAGTCCGAGCCTAGGGCACTTTTTCACCCGAGTTCACCATGGAAAGTGGTGTTCGACAGGGTTGTTCTCTCACGCCATTTCTGTGTAACTTTGTGATAGATTTAATTTTTGAAACAGCCCTATCCTCTTGCAAGGATAGCGGGATCGATTTACTCCCAGGCGGCAGACTGTATGATCTAGAGTATGCAGACGACATTGTGCTACTAAGTGAAGATCATGTAAGTTGCAAGCTTCTCTAAATAGTTTAAGTGCTAGTGTATCCATGTTCGACATGCATTTTGCACCTTCAAAGTGTAAAATGTTTCTCCAAGATTGGGTTGGTTCAGCACCCTGTTTCACCCTGACTGGGGAAGTAGTAGAAAAAGTAGACAAATTCTGTTATTTGGGCAGCTATATCTCACCTGGCGGATGCATCACAGATGAAGTGTCGGCGTGCATACAAAAAGCTCGGTTGGCATTTGCAACTTTGAAACATTTGTGGCGAGGTCGCGATATCTGACTGTCTCTGAAGGGTCGAGTATATGCTGCAGAAGTCCGGCTAGTACTGCTCTAAGGTGCAGAAACTTGGCCACTACGGGAACGGGATAAAAATAAGTTGTCGGTGTTTGAACACAGCTGTCTACATCGCATTGTAGGAGTTTGGTGGGGTAACCAGACTAGCAATGCTGAGGTTAAGCGTAGAGTTTTAGGCAGTCGCGGTCGTCCACTGGAGCAAGTGATCGACCTCCATAGATTACTTTGGTTGGGGCATGTGTTACGCACGTCACCACGGCGAGTGATGTTTGCCGAAGCAGGTAGCAGTTGGAAAAGAGTCCAGGGTAGTCAATCGAAGACCTGGCATGAGAGTATGAAAATCCTAACCAGGAGACTAGGTTACATAGGTCCCGTTAGACTCCCTGGCTGGGGACCTTGAGATGATGGTCACCGATGGTTAGATACACTGAGTGATATGGCTGGGTGTCGCAAACAGTGGCGCTCGTGCATCCACTCATTATTCCTCTAACACCATTCCATATGAATTCTCCATCTTCCGCTTGAATTTACTTCCACATTCCAATCTTCATCCTGCTATTTTATCCAAATGAGGCGCCAAAAGACAGCAACCAAAACCGGCGCACGAAAGTGCATGGTTAACGGTTGTAAAAACTGAACTGAACTGATGGTATGCAGAATGCTTTGTCCGGTCTAGCAAAAGGTGGAGTCGATTATCTGTCGATGGAATAGGCCAGACATGGAGTGTGCTTTGCGCCTACAAAGTGCAAATTACATATATTATATATGCCTACAAAAGCCTTAATACTGTAGGGGGTGGATGTCTCGGGTTGCGGCTGATCAGCCCTAGCTTGCGCCCACGAAACGCTTTCATACAACGATGCTTCTGCTCAGGAAGCCCTGCTCACTACCTTCTCGTGGAGCTGTTTTCCTACCAACGTGAGAAGACTAAAAGCCAATATTGTAAAGTACTGTAATACGATATAATACAATTTCCGAGGCTATAACCGGGTCGGTGAACGATTAGCAGTTCAACTAAGGCAGTTGGCTAAAAAAAATCCCTGATTCCAAACTAACCAATAAGAGGCGTGCGAATCAAGCACACACCTTCCTTGTCACGGTAGTGGTCACCGGCTCGATTGGATATCGAGGGTTTTGGCACTATGGAAGTTTGACCCCGTGCAAAGGGTGTATGATCTGATGAACATTATATATATATATATATATATATATATATATATATATATATATATATAATAGTTCACACACGTCTGAATCCAGACTGTGTCAAACAAATCATGATACATTAACCTTGGTAAAAATGAAAAACGTTCCATGATTCAAATGTGGGTCGGATACTGCCAGGTTGCCCAGGCCACGGCAGGTAAATTCTCTTGAGGAGTCCACA